TCACAAGTGAGCAAAGGGCAGGGAGCAGAGCTCACGAAGCAGGAACATTCCTTAAAGATGAGGCTGCACAACTCAGAACCGTTCTAGAGCTCACTGAGTTGGTGATGGTTAGAAATATTCACCCACCCCATTCAGTCCAAAGGTCATCTATTCCTCTCTCTTATGTAACAGGGTATCAGAGCTCATGTAACAGAAAAGGAAAGACAGAGGGCTATAATAAACCAGGACGCCAAAGCTGTACTACCAGCTTCTTTCTCCCTGTCCCCTGCCACTATGATATTCCCGTACCCTTATTTAATTCTGCCCCACCCAGCTCTCTTCTTCATCCACCACAATCCACAGTCAGGACCACAAGGAAAGGGAAAATTATATCCTATCAATCATTCTTCTGAACAAGGCAATCGTAAGCTTAATCTTTCCTTTTTTGGATTTCTCAACATAAAAATAGCAAGGACAAAAAGATGATGACAATGATTGATATAATTTTTGTTTAATTGTATTTACTTATTTATTTGAGAGGCAGAGAGAGCCACAGAAACAAAGAAAGAGAGAGTTCCCACCCACTGATTCATTCCCCCAAGCACCTGAAACAGCCAAGGAAGGGACAGGCCACAGATAGGAGCCTGCTCCCATCTGTGTAATAGGGATGCGGGACTTGAGCTGCCTCCCAGGGTCTGTATAAGCTGAAAGCAGGAATCAGGAGCACCATCAGTATTCAAACCCACATCTCTATTATGGGATATGGGCATCTTAACCAGTAGGCCAAATACTTGCCCCAAATATATCACTTAAATAATAAATCTAGCTTCTTAATGCTCTAAGATGACTGAGAAATCTGAAAAACTGTGTTACGAACTGAAATCAGAAAGCACTGCGTTGCCACGATGTCCTAGGCGCACAGTCCGATTCTCTTCCACTCCGCTGTACACCAGGCTGTCTACTCCTCCCCAAAGCAGGTATGTGTCCCTCTAATAAAACAGTCTAGATACTCAAAAGAGAGGATAAGAAAACAAGCAGGATGCTGCCTTGGCAATTTTAATAAGTATCACTAATTTTATAGTTTTACTTATCTCACCCTTCCTCAGAAGAAGCATTAAATTATAAAGTAAATAAATGAAGAGATCATAAATAGGACAAAGTATAATGCATGTAATACAAAAAAAAAGCTCTTAGGCTGTTTAAGATTTTGTTTCATACCCCCTCAAAAATGTTAAGCTATTGGTTATTTGGGGAGGGGCTTTTTTCCTGCAATTAATTTTAAATGTATTTATTTGAAAGAGAGCTTCCATCTGCTGGTTCTCTCCCCAAGTGCCTACAAAAGCCAGGGCTTAAACAGAGGTAGGGCCGGCACCACGGCTCACTAGGCTAGTCCTCTGCCTGCAGCACCAGGACCCCTGGTTCTAGTCCCGGTTGCTCCTCTTCCAGTCCAGCTCTCTGCTGTGGCCCAGGAAGGCAGTAGAGGATGGCCCAAGTGCTTGGGCCCTGCACCCACATGGGAGACCAGGAGGAAGCACCTGGCTCCTGGCTTCGGATTGGGGCAGCGCACAGGCCATAGCGGCCATTTGGTGGGTGAACCAATGGAAGGAAGACCTTTCTCTCTGTCTCTCTCTCTCACTGTCTAACTCTGCCTGTCTAAAAAAAGGAAGGAAGGGAGGGAGGGAGGGAAGAACCAGAAACTCAATCTAGGTCTCCCATCTGTGTGGCCAGAAATCAAGGACTTGAGCCTTCCCCTGCAGCCTCACAGGCGTGCACCGGCTAAAAGCTGGACTCAGGAGAACTGGAACTCCAAACTGGGATGCAGCCAACATAAGTGGTGTCTTAACTGCTACACCAAATGCCCATCCCTCCTTGATATCTTTTTTAAAAATGTATTAAAACTAAAGTTCTTAAAATGCTTGAACGTAACAAGTAAACTTTTTAAAATACAAAGGTAAAAATCAAGGAGGGTCAATTATGGTTCTCCACTCTTCTACACACCAATGAACAGAGTAACCACTGCTAAGTTTTAACAAACAGTTTTTGCCAGCATCTGATAAATATTTCAAAATAGTTTGAAGAGGTACAAAATAAGAAAGAAAACATACACAAGGATATTTCAAAAAGTTTATGAAATAACTATATTATGCAAAGACAATTCATGGATTTCAAGATTTTATTTGCAGCAAAATTAACTTACCTTTTAATTCCTTTTGCCATATATATTTTCTAAGTATCCTAGTATACTTCAAAACGGACTCTGATGGAATTTGACCACAATGTAAAAGCAACAAAAGATATTTTCGTTCCTTTGGCTTCCTAGTTTTTCTTGGCTTTGCAAAGAAACATTAAACAAAAAAAAAGTTTGCTAGAACTCAAAAGACCCTTCAAAAATTAAAACAAGCTGGCTTACACTAATAGCCAATATTCTTAAAATTTAAAATGGTTACTATAAACAGTTACATTTAAAAACAGAAGGTTATAGAAATGTTTCTGTAAACACATTAGAAGTTAATTGCTTTTCCTTTTAATTATTAAATATTCCTATACAAATGTATAAATCTTCCCACATAGCTCTTTCGATCAAAATCCTTCCAATTTGTCTTAATGTGTGTTTCTCATGTTAAAAATACATGGTCAAATTAATAATAAGAATGCTAGGGCCATTTGAAGAGTGAGGAGTGAGCCAGCAGATCAAAGAACACACACACTCATTCTCTCTCTCTCTCTCTCTCTCTCTCTCTCTCTCTCTCTCTCTCCTTCTGTAACTCTTTCAAATAAAATAATATAAAAATCTTTAAAGAATGGTAATTCTCATATCTAGATCTATTGTAAAACACAGCATTTAAAATGCATTTAAAATAAAATAAATTCCAACACCAGGAAACATTTCTAAGTGTCCTATTTCATAACTGTTAAATTTTAAGTGGAACTCCTCAATTGTACTCATAAAGTCATTTCTGCTTTCCAACTGCAGTAAGAAGAGGCCAAGTAACTTACAGTGGAGGACTGCACAGCTGGTACTCATTCCTTTCACTCCCCTAAGTCTCTCCCTTTGTGATGTGACTCTGCCACTCCTTCCATCAAGAGATAGCTTTACTTGGAATGCTGCTGGCACACTGGAAAAGAAGCCCCAAGGATAACAGACCATGAGAGAGAAAGAGCCCAGGCACACCAGCCCTGCCAGACAGCATCAGGTGTCAAACACCTCAGTGCAATCACCTTGACCCCAGTCCTGATGGAGACACCAGACAACTGCAGTCACAGACCAGCAGGACAACCATGCAGTAGAGCACAGAGTCAACAGAAAGTAAAACAAATGTTGGTTTAGGCCACTAAATACAAATCTTGGACTGTCTGAATCCAGATCCTAGTTTCTCTCCAAGAATTACAGCTGCAATTTATTCTTTAGTTTTGAAACACATATATCTTGTAGACTAACTCAACTATATTACAGATACTTTATGGGGAGAGGTTCAAACATGTCATCAAAAAATAGAATTAAAACATGATTTATTTAAATTTATTTGAGAGACAGAAAGATGGCTCCCACCACAGCCAGTGGTCGGCCAGGATAAAGTCAGAGCCAAGAACTTTACCAGGCCTCCCATGTGGGTGGCAGGAACCCAATGACCTGAGCCATAACTGCTGCCTCTCAAGGTCTACATTATTAGCAGAAAGCTGCAGTCAGAAGCCGGAGCCAGGCAACAAAATCAGGCAGTCTGATATGACATGGGTGCCCCAACTGGAGTCCTAACCACTAGGCCAAACTTAAGAAATCACTAATTTTTATTAATCGAATAAATGTTGTGGCTTCAAAAAATGAAACAATGTTACTATAAGATCTAATGAGCACACATTCACACTTGAATGGAAACAGTAAACTAGAAGTGGACCATAATAGAACAAGACCACAGGCACCTTACCTATGTGTACCACTTAGGGGTTAGCTAATATTTTTTGCACAAGGCTAAACAGTAAGCAATGTAGGCCATGATTGGTCTCTGTTCTATGTACTCTCCACTCTGCCACTGTACAATGAAGACAGCCATAGACCACATGTAATGAATAAGTATGGCTGTCTTCTACTAAATGTTCATTTATAAAAAATAGGTACTAGGCCATGGTTTGCTAACCACTTCAAGTGCTTAAAGATCTTCAGCCATACACATTAACTGATCATAAAGATAGGATTAAGTGCCAAAGGGATCACATAAATAAGAACAGTGTCTGCTAGAATAACTGATAGAATTAAAAAGGAGAGAACAGTCCAACATGGGAAGCGGGATACACAGCAGACTCATAGAATGACAAATGCCCTAAACAGCACTCTGGCCTCAGAATCAGCCCTTAAGGCATTCAAATCTGGCTAAAATGCCCATGAGAGCATTTCAGGCATGGAAAGCCAAGACCCAGTGGAAAAAAAAAGACCTACATGAAGGATCTCTGTGAGTGAGATCCAAGTGGAAAGAAGGGACTATCAAAGAAGGAGGTACCTTTCTCTGAAGGGAGGAGAGAACTTCCACTTTGCATATGGCCCTGTCTAAATACTGACAGAGTTTGTGGATTCAAAAGGCTTCCATAGCCTTGGCAGCTCATGACAAGAGCCTCAGGTGATTACTAACATAAGTAAGAGTGTCAATTGTTGAATCAACAACAGGAGTCACTGTGTACTTGTTCCCCATGTAGGACCTCTGTCCTTAAAGTGTTGTACTATGAGAATTAAGAGTAAAACTAGTCTTCAAACAGTACTTTATACTTTGTGTGTCTGTGTGGGTGCAAACTGTTGAAATCTTTACTTATATAGAGTTGATCTTCTATATATAAAGATAATTAAAAATGAATCTTAATGAAGAATGGGATGGGAGGGGGAGTAGGAGATGGGATGGTTTGCAGGTGGGAGGGTGGTTATGAGGGGAAGAACCACTATAATCAAAAAACTGTACTTTCAGAATTTCTATTTATTAAATAAAAGTTTTCTATTAAAAAAAAGATCTTCGGAGCCACGGGTGGCATTGGCCAGGCATGGCGGCGTGGGGCCCAGCCACAGCAACGGTTCTGCTCCGCGGGATCCGCGGGCTTCCTCTTCGCTGTGCCCATGGCACGTTTGCCTCTCAGACCGAGGGGGAGCTCAGGGTGACCCAGATGCTGAGAGAGAAGTTTCCTCCAGCCACAGCTATCAAAGTTACCGACATCTCCGGGGGCTGTGGGGCCTTGTACGAGATCAAAATCGAGTTGGAAGACTTCAAGGAGAAGAGAACCGTCCAGCAGCACCAGATGGTTAATCAGGCACTCAAAGAAGCAATCAAGGAGATGCACGGCTTGCGGATATTCACCTTGGTCCCCAGATGCTGACCCCACTGGCTGCCGCTGTGTCCCAGGCATCTGCCTAAACAAGGATTTGATCTGTTTTGCTCAGAGACTTTCCGTGTCATTATAGGAGATATGCTCCCTATGTAGATGTCAATTAAAGGCCACAGACATCGGGAAAAAAAAATCTTCTGCCAAAATGAACTAATTTATTAGCTCTGTTCAAGATAATTTGTATGCTAAATTACCATGAGCTTTTTAGGAAATCCTCTATATTCATATTCTACTATTTGTACAATAGCAGTACATATTAAGAAATGGCTAAACATTACCTGTCAATTTGGTTTGCCTACAGTGCTCAGCTGTTTGGTTAAATGTGAGCCTAGATGCTGCTGGGAAGGTGTTTATAGGTGTGATGAACATCTAATGTCAGCTGACCTGAAGTAAAGGAGAGTTTGCTGTATCATAAAGGCAGGCCTCAATCCTTCCCTTGAAGCTGCAGGAATAAAATCCGAGGATTCCAAAAGAAGCAATTCTGCCTCAAGACTTTAACACAGAAATCTTGCCTGAGTCCCCAGCCTGCTCTGCAAGTCTCACCCTTGCCATCTACCACAATCACATAAGCCAATTCAAAATAAATTTGTATGTATACAAATAAATCCTATGAGTTCTATTTTTCTGAAGAACTCTAATTGATATAGTATATTAAGGCAATATGCCCTTAAATATAAACAGTTATGCTCTGATTTTTGGTACGTCATCCCAGACTGTCAGAAAGCTGTGACAGGTTGTATTATTTGGAATTATTCACTTGTTGTTCCTTGAGAGTTGATAATATACATCCATGTATAGACATGGAATTTGCACATGTCTCAGATGGAAGGAACAGACATCTCTAAATTACTGATTTGGCAACCATGAGATGTGAGCTATCCAACCATCACAATATGAACAGATGTGATGTATACCACATTGAAGTGAAAGCTTGAAGCACCACTCCAAGTTTGGATCATCCTTTTGGCTCAACAGTACTTTGTCAAGAGACCAACATATCACATAGGAAAGCTGTTCACTTCACCACAGTTCCCAAATGAGATGAGTCTAGACAGACTGGCAGGCTGGGGCAGAACTGGAACTGATTAACAGTCTACAAAGTAAAGTTAGTAGAGGCCACCAGCTTTTTATTTTGAGAAATCACTGAAATTTGGAGAAGATGCTGAATGCTGGAAAAACTGGTACCAGAGTGGGCTACTATATTCGCCACCACCACCACAAATCATAGAACTGTGTGATGCAGCCTTGAAGCCAATGGCATACAGCAAGAAAATTTTATTGGAAACTTTAAAAAAAAACCGCAAATCACATAATGCAGTGGCAAAAAAAAAAAAAAAAAAAAACAAAACAAAAACACACCCTCAAGTGAAGGAGCAACCATTTAGCGTTTGTTAGGAAAATGGTGCAGTTTCATCTATGGCGCGATCTACATCTTGACACCATCCTAGGCTCTAGCCCCTGCCACCATTGCTGGAAGCCAGGTGGCCACATGGCCCAACCACCGGTGTCAAGCTCCACCCCCATCCTAATGGGATTCGCTGTTCCTTCTTCCCTGCCCACCCTCATGCAAAGTTTTAAAAGGTCCTGTTCCTGAACACATGGCTCTCTTCTCTCTCTCTGCTCTCCTCTCCTCTCCCTCTCGTCTCTCTTCTCTCTGCTCTCTTCTTGCTAGCTCCTCTCCTCCCTGTCTCTCTCTCTTATACTCTCCTCTCTCTTTTTCCTTCTTCGCCCCTTCCCTCCAGCCTGCTGGCTTTCCCCAATAAACCCTTTCCCTTACTCCAGTGTTTGGTGTGTTTTGTGATGGCCTAACAGCGTTAGCAGTTAGGACACTAGCATCCCATATCAGAGTATCTAGGTTCAGTTCCTGCAGTCAGCTCCTCACTCCAGCTTCTACAAATGTGCAATCTGGGAATTAACATTATGGCTCATAGAATTGGGTACTGCCACCAGTGCGAAACACCTAAATTGAGTTCCCATTTCCTGAATGTAACTTTGGCCCAATTCCAGCCACTAGCAACATTTGGGAAGTGAACCAGCAGCAGATGGAAATGTATGAATGTGTATGTACGTGTGTGTCTACCTGCCTCTCGATTTTTTTTAAAAAGCTCACATATAAAAATATAACTTGCTGAGCCGGCGCCGTGGCTCAATAGGCTAATCCTCCACCTTGCGGCGCCGGCACACCGGGTTCTAGTCCCGGTCGGGGTGCCGGATTCTGTCCCGGTTGCCCCTCTTCCAGGCCAGCTCTCTGCTATGGCCAGGGAGTGCAGTGGAGGATGGCCCAGGTGCTTGGGCCCTGCACCCCATGGGAGACCAGGAAAAGCACCTGGATCCTGGCTCCTGCCATCGGATCAGCGCGGTGCGCCGGCTGCAGCGGCGGCCATTGGAGGGTGAACCAACGGCAAAGGAAGACCTTTCTCTCTCTGTCTCTCTCTCTCTGACTGTCCACTCTGCCTGTCAAAAAAATTAAAAAAAAAAAAAATTTTAAAAAAAAAAAAATATATAACTTGCTGAGAAGATGACAAAAACTGTGCTTTGACTGTCATTAATAGGATCTGATAAAATGCTAATAGAAAGATCAGCTGAGAAAAGGGGCTATTTGCAAGAAGGGATAAAAAGTAAAAACTAAAGAGCATGGAATTCCTATACAGCGATGCCCCAGTTCTCACAGGTAGATAAGTGCTTCAAACCCAAGTTCAGACACTAACTGAGGGCAAAGATCAAGTCAGAGGTGTGGCTGTCACACTGTTTAAGACCTGTGGAGTAACACGCCACCCAGTAAACCCTCTCAGTGGAAAAGGGCTTGGAGAGATACACTGCCCGCCACCCCAACCCCCAACCCGAGCATACACAGAATGTGTTCCCACAGAAGCCCGTAAGCTCGAGACAGTTGTGTTAAAATCTAGAGAAAAGGGCACAAGACCTGAAGTCAGAGCATCAGCACATGCATCTGACTGAAATAAAACACATTTCAAATCAAACCATGCCAGCCTGAGCTAAGGAACCATTGCTCTTCTAGATCAACATTTTCCACAGGCAGGAAGAGAGTTGCTCACCAGGACTCTACCCCCAGACAGGAAGGGCACATCCTCCAGGACTGTTCAAATGTAGAGGAGGATGATACATTCAAGGAAAGGCATCACAGAGTGAACCGTCCAGAGCCAAGGAAAACAGACTGTGAGCTAATCAAGGAACATTCCCAATGCCAAGAAAAGGGGCCCTCACTACATTACTCAACAAGATTACTCAAAACTGCTGGGGCCAGCGGCTGCCCTAAGTTTGCCCTCTCTTGACAATTAGTTTTTATGGAGATCCTATCCCTGTTCCAGTAGATAACTATTAGTTCTTCGATCGCTATACAAAGAAAATCTACATATGTCAGAGATGTAGAAATTCTGGAGAGGTTTAGACTTAAAGGCTACTGTAACTGAAGAACTGCTGGGGCGTCTTGCCTGAGGAAGCGGCGGAGAGGAAGAAGAGTGATGCACATGATCAAGAGCACAAGCTGTGAGAGTGCATTCACGCTCACTATTCCCCACCCCATCCTCCCAAGAGGCTTATTTGTCTCCTCCCAGGGACTTACAAATTGCCTAGGATCCCGGTGGGGAGACGATCTGTCCCTGGGCCTTGTCCCTGGGCCTCGGTGGCAGCCTGGCGTGAGGAGCTCTGGCAGTCACAACACACTGTACTTCTGAGCAGGAGCTTTAAGAGGTATCAGAAATCTCTGCCTGGCCCAGCTCTGCTTACCACCATGTATATGGCAGGTGTAGATAGGGGCCGCTCCATGACGGCAGCCCAGAGCCTGTGAATACTGTCATGTTAGTGTAAGCCACCAAGGCTTGGGGGTTATTAGTTCCTGCAACAAAACTGGTTTATACAGAAATCAAATGAAACATGGGTAAACGGAGAATTATGTGATGCATGGGCATTCCTCGGGTAGCTGAATACAGCGCAAAGGTGACTAGCAATGTAAAGAGAGAGAAGCAGTGCAGGATCTGCTCCCCGAGTGGCTAAGGGTGTAGGCAAACACAGTCTATAGAGAAGAACTCATTTCCATTTGATTGTTGGAAGTGAGGCTGCAGCAAAACATAAAAACAAAGCAGAAAAATCTCATAAATCATAAAAAATCTCATAAAACACATGCTATGTATGCTCGGGTTAGGGGTTGGGGTGGCAGGCAGATTTAAGCAGAAAAATCTCATAATGAGCATATACTTCACATTGTTCTCAGCTATAATCTGGACAGATTTCTACGATGATCCTCGCTATACAAATAAAGAGAAAGAAATTTACAGAGGTATCATACCTTGCCAACATTACACAGCTACCAAGTGACAGTTAAAATTCAAAACTAAGACGAATGCTAGAACTAAAGGTTTTCTATACACATTGTCAAGAAAGGGGTACAGATTACTCAGCAATTATTCCATAAAAGTAGCTATTTGATTTTACAGCATTTGCCAACTGTAAGTTAATACCGTGATACTGATGCATATATATAAATCTATATATAACTATGTTTTAACACATCTGTCCAAACTTTTTTCAGCACCTAGATATATTTTAAATGTTTAAGTCAAAATGAGAATATATTACACAGATATTTCACCTAATGGATTATTGCCAACATGAGTTAATTACAATTGCTTATAGATGAAGATTCCTGACTTGGAGAATTTCAGAGGTTATTAAAATATCAGTATTTCTGGCTCCCTCTAGTGGCAACTAAGATAAGCCTTTTTTTCCATGATTTGATTTTCAAGTCACAGCGGCAAGCACGGTTGGGCAAGAAAACATAGAAAGGACCAATTTTAAGTGAATTCCTACCAGCTAACAAGAATTTGCCATCAGGAACACCTGGATTGAGTTCCCAAGATGGACTATGTATCTGCTAACTGACCTTGGTCATACTACTCAATCTCTCCAAGTGTCAGTTTTCTCATCTGTAAAATGAAACTAATATCAATTACCTCATTAGTTATAAAAGTTAA